CCCCCCCCCCCCCCCCCCCCCCAGCAGTGTGTAGGCACAATTTGGACAGATTTGAAATTAAAATGTGCGTTTTGTGAACTTTGAACGCAATTTAGAATCAAATAGTTGAAAATGATGTTATACAATTGAACTCCACGATGTCGCTTTGATTGGATTTTGAATTTGCCCTCAGTAGATTAGTTAGCCTCCACTTGTTCTTAAAATGGGCTCTCGCAAAATTTAAATTTCTTACAATTAAAACTTACCTTGAAGGTGATGAATTGGTTTTATTGGTGGATATATGAGAAGATCGGAAGAAAACAGCGAATTTGTAGAAGGTTTACTGAATTTTGTGGTCTTCATCTGCATTGGTCTCACCATCGACTACTACTAAATGTAAGGTAGAAAACTCGAGAGAGAGAGAGAGAGAGGGCATTTTGACTTAGGAACTCTGAAACTTTGTTTTAATTAATGGTGGACTGGGGTGTATTGATGAATGGACTTGGAAAGCATCCTACTATATTCGAGATTTATTTCGCTTTTTTTGTTTATTTACACGATGTGGCTTAATCAAGCGTTTTCGCGTATTTGAATTTTCTTCAGTCCACACGTCGTGACCACTTATTGAGATATCGAGCACGTCATTAGACACCCTTAATGCCGCACTCATCCCAATCGCTTATTGACACCCCACACACACGTTCTCTGACTCCCTTGTGATAACTTCGTAAATGCACACTTCGCCCATTGGCATCCATGCTCTCCTTTCATCTCTTGAATCCCGATTCCACGCCAAGTAATTGTTCATCCCTTTCTTATCCCCCTCGCACACCCCCCCCCTCCACTCCTTATAGAATGGTGTAATTTGAGGTGAATAGCCGGGAAAAATCCATATATTTCAAGTGGATATCCGTCATATCTGGGATTTGAAATCTAAATCCACGAATGGGTTTACTGCTACTGATCGTAACATCTCAATCAATTTGTCCATTCTTATAGCCTCGAAAAATGAATTATTTTTGTATATTATCTGCGACATTTAAACTAGGCAAATGTATAGGTGGGATTGGAATTCATTTAATTTTGACTCATTTATAAATGATTTTAAAGGGGATTGGCGACACGACTCGGATCTTGAATTTTCCATATATTCAAACTAACACTGATAATACCTTTTCTAGACAGAAATATAATTATTTCCATCACCATTACAAATCATCTCTTTATTATGGCAAGTAAAATATGGAGCACACGTACTTCCTACCTTGACACTCAGGGTGTTCTTTTGATTTCATTAATAGAAATTCAAAAAAATATTGCAGATCATTTGAAATTAGTACAAATAAATTTTTATTTATATTGAGAAAACAGACTGACTGGTGTCACATGAATGATAGAGAGGTGTGTTTTGGTAAATGAAGGCCTTTTTTCCTAATGACATTTTTTGGGTACTTTACGATACTTTGGGTGCAACTCTGTTATTAAATATATTTCCAGACATTTCAACAAATAGGTTCAGAGCTACCGCAATGGTTATTCAAAAGTAACTACACGAAAAGCTATTCGCAGCTAGCGTAACCAGAAATGAATTATGTAAGGTCTAACGCGCGAGGGATCACAGTGGCTGGTTGGAATGTAGGCAGTAATCTCTCCTCCCCTCCTCTTCCCCCTCCCCCCCCCCCCCCCGCCCCCCCCCCCACGTGCTTCTGACATATTTTCCACTCTACGCTTAAGCCCATCGCTTTATTAGCTGATCGTGTTTTAATCTAAAAAAAAACGCGCGGATTCGCTAAACGGGAGATTCCAGGTCTTAAAGAGTATTGCAAAGTAAGCGCGCTTACGATCAGATGACTGCGGAAAGTCCGTGGACGCTGTAAATGTACTTACTGGATGGATGAATGACAGTTGAAATTTTAATTAGTTTCCGTGGAATATAGGTACAGTTGAACGGGGTCAGACACCCAAGTTACAATAAACGTTTTTCTTGCAAATATTGAAAATTAGAGTGTCTTAAAAACCTATTGTCAGAAAGATGAATTCACTTACTTTGTGTTTTTTTAATGGCAACACGTTTTTTAGCGGTTTTAAATGCCACAGTTGGCATACAACCTCATAATTATTGAAATTATCCACAAAATAACCTTCATAATCATACCAGGTAGATTCCCTTTTCCACTTTATAGACACCAAAATAGGAAAATTGATTTGATTCAGTAATTTCAATATGGCAAAATACACAAATGTCAAGTCAACTAAATATGAATGTGTTAATTGGGATCATCAAAGTGCAGTAGGCTCAGAAAATGAAATATTTCTCCCTGGGAAATATAAATTGAAGTGGAACGGACGCGAGATAATTATCTGATATATCAAAAAGGCGACAAAAGTGGCAGTACAGTGCATTTATTCAAATATATATATATATATATATATATATATATACCCCTGTGTTGGGGTAAATTTTTTTGTTTCATTGCTGATAAGGTCAAATAATCTACATTGCCATTGTATAAAGCATAAATTAAACGCGTTTATTCTTCAAATATGTATATCAAATGGCAGGCGCGTTGATGGTCATCATTAGTTGACTTCGAGGTTCACAGAGGGTGGGGGGGGGGGGGGGGGGGNGGGGGGGAGGAACATCAAAGGCACAAAATTCGAGGTGGCGGGGGGGGGACGGGAAAGAGAAGAGTAATTCATAGATGTAAGAAACAGACACAAAGGTAGAGAAAAAGGTAAGATGAGATGAGTACTGTGTAAGTGGGGGAATATGACATACAGCGTGGTCATGGTTGTTTGAAGTCGGAAGTCATCTTCCGGCATATTGACTTGTTTGCCGTATGTGTCTATAAGTTGGCCAGGGTGTACTACGTGGAGGTAAGTCTATCACACACCCCTATACATACAGTACAAATTGAATAATAAATATTAAAATAAGTAAGCTTGCAAATATGTTTTGCTTATTACACTCTTTTTGGATAAAAATTTTTCTTATTTTTTTTCAGCATTTGCAAATCGATCACTATGGGGTATTAATTCTTTTAAAATTCACAACTGCAGTAAAGCTCTAGAGCGCAAGTGAAATTTCGACATGAGAGCATTGGAGGATAAGTCTTATCATCCAGGAATTCTCATAACATTTCGATACGAATGTCATTACTTTACGATCGAGTATCTCGTATCTCGTTCCTAATTTCTTGAGTGAAATCGTGTTTTCGAAGTGTGAAAATTATTAACCAGTTTATTAACTAAAAGATGGCGTCAATCGCTTTTTTGCCCAAACCATGATTGATAGGAGATGAGGAATCAGACTTGACTGGATCTAATTGGTTCATCCAGGGCGTGCGCATCAGCTTATGGAATTAAGTTTCACTCTACACTGCTACCTATTATCTCTTCAAATTTAATTTAACTTCTTCTTATGATGTTTGTC